TATGCTACCAGAGTTCCTTAGTATCTCTTGGGACACCCTATTTGTTCTTTTCTTCTTTCTTTTAAATTACCTTTTGCTTTCCTCATGTATTATGTTCTTGATATCCCATAACTTGTTGTTTTCAGTCATTATTGTCTAATGTGTCAAATCTGTTCTTGAGGTGGTTTTTAAATTCAGGTGGGATATACTCAGGATCATATTTTATCTCTTGTGGACCTGTTTTAATTTTTTCTAGCTTCAGCCTGAATTTGCAGGTGAATAATTGATGGCCTTTATTACAATTAGCTCTTGTCCTTGCTTTGGCTGATAATATTTTCTGACTACATTGACACAAACATAGTCAATGTGATAACTGTTTATCCCATCTGGGGAAGTTCATGTGTGTACTTGCCATTTATGTTGTTGAAAATAGGTATGTACAATGAATAGTTGTTGTTTGCAAAATTTGGTAGGGTGGAGGGTCAGAGAAAAAGAGGAAGATCCCCCCAGCAAGATGGACTGGCAAAGTGGCAGCATCAATGGGCTCAAGCATGGCAACAATAGTAAGGTTGGCCCAGGACTGGGCAGTGTCATGTTCTGCTGTGTATAAGGTCACTATGAGTCAGTACTGACTCGATGGTACCTGACAACAACAACATCTCTAGCATGGTGCTTACCACCAAGGCCATATTCTCCAATTACATTTCCTTCCTCCTGAGCAATAGTGAGGTTGGCCCAGGACTGGGCAGTGTCATGTTCTGCTGTGTATAAGGTCACTATGAGTCAGTACTGACTCGATGGTACCTGACAACAACAACATCTCTAGCATGGTGCTTACCACCAAGGCCATATTCTCCAATTACATTTCCTTCCTCCTTGTTTCCTAGTTTTGCTTTTCATTCAGCAGGAATTATCACTGCATCTTAATTGCATGTTTGATTATTTTAAAATGCAGAAGCTAGTATAATTCTTCAATTTCTTAATCAATGACTTTAGTGGTGGGTGGGTAACTTGAACAATAGTCATATTAACTGGTCTTCTCTATTATTAAGTGCCATCAAGTAAGTTCTGACTCAGAGCAACCCTGTACTGAGGTTTTGAGGAGTGGTTTGTGGGTTTGAACCATCGACCTTGTGGTTAGCATTCTAGTGCATACCCTACAGTGCCACACCAGTACTTTGTCTTCCTTGTAAGCGTATGGATATTATCCTATCACAGATTACACTGTACTTCAAAATAGAACTGGAAGTGTTCTTTTTGAGTCTGAATGCAACACCATTCCTTTTCATTTTGTTATTTCAGGCATAGTAAAACATACTTTTGTCTCTTTTCAAAAGTCCAATATCACTCTATTTTACTTCACTAATGTCTAGGATTAGTGAACTAAAATGGACTGGTATTGGACTTTTTAAAAGGTTTTATTGTGAATTATGTGTTAGTTTACATGGGTGAACATTAGCTTTACATTCATTCTATTGTATTTTATTTCATTGCAATGATCACAGTCCTCTGCATGCATCATCAAACAACAAAGGGTACACTCCACATGCCTGCCCCTCCCCCCCGCCCACCTGGGCCGCCAGCACACAGCCCCTCTTCCTCTCTGAGTCCAGAGTCCCCAGCCACTCCTTCTGTCCACGTCATGGTCTCTGACTCCATCCCTAGTGTCACTGCCTCCCCAGGCAGGGTCTCACACTTTGCTTTTCTCCTTTGATGATTCCAGGGATCTCCACTCCTGGACTACAAAATCAACCACTCCCCTCCTTTTGTTACCAAACATTTACATTTACATTTCCAGAACTCACTGTCAGACCTGATAGCAATCATTCCCTATTGAACCACAGGAGTCCTTTTCCCCCTCACTTTTTATCAACCCCATCCAGATAGGTTGGAAATAATTCAGTGAACATTCTACCTTTCCCTGTATCCCCTGGAGCTAGGTTCCCTATTAAAAGCTTGTAAGCCAGTCATTTTTTTGCCTTTGTGTTGTTGTTGTTGTTGTTGTTAGGTGCCATCGAGTTGGTACTGACCCATAGTGACATTATGCACAGCGGAACGAAACACTACCTGATCCTGGGCCAACCTCACTATTGTTGTCATTCTTGAGTCCATAAATGCTGCAACTTGGCCAATCCATCTCATTGGGGTTCTTCCTCTTTTCCTCTGACCCTCCACCTTACCAAACATGATATCCTTCTCCAGTGACTGGTCCCTCCAGGCAATATGTCCAAAGTATGAGAGACAAAGTTTGGTCATCTTTGCCTCTAAGGAGCACTCTGGCTGCACTTCTTCCAAAAAAGATCTATCGGTTCTTTTGGCAGCCCATGGCACTTTCAGTATTCTCCTCCAACACCATAACTCAAAAGCATCAATTTTTCTATGGTCTTCCTTATTCACTGTCCAGCTTTCACATGCATATGAGATTATTGAAAATACCATGGCTTGGGTCAGGTGCACCTTAGTCCTCAAGCTGACATCTCTACTCTTCAATACTTTAAAAAGTTCCTGTGCAGCAGATTTGCCCAATGCAATATGTCATTTGATCTCTTGACTGCTGCTTCCGTGAGTGTTGATAGTTGATCCAAGAAGAATGAAGTCCTTGACAACTCCATTGCCTTTGTAGTCCCCCTATTTTGGGTAGTCAATGTCTAAGCTCCCCATTCCTGTCGACCCTATGTACCAAGGGGTAAGAATGATCCTCACTGTAGCGATTTGTCCACTCCTTTGTCAGTACTGGACTTTTTGAAAGGGACAAAAGTATGGTTTACTATGTGGTGCTATAGGATAAACATACAACCTCAAGGTCGATGTTAACTGCAAGGTCCGCAGTTGAAACTCACCAGCCACTCCTCAGAAATCCTATACAAGGTCTCTATGAGTCAGAATCAACTCAATGGCACTTAGCAATAACAACAACAACAATATCTATAATATTGATCTTTATATGTTCCATTTCATTTTTGATGACGTCCAATTTTCCTAGATTCATACTTCATCCATTCCATGTACCAATTCTTAATGGATGTCTACAATTGTTTCTTCTCATTTTGAGTTGGGCCCAGTCAGAAAATGAAGGTCCTAAAAACTTTATTCCATCCATATCATTAAGATTAAGTCTACTTAAAGAAAGCAGTTGTTTCCCAGTGGTATTTTGAGTGCTTGCCAACCTAACATTGTAATGGCTAATGTTTCAGAAGTGGTCTGCATCTACTTCTTCCTAGGCTGTCTTAGTCTGGAAGCGCCACTGAAACCCGTACACCGTTGGTGACCCTGCTGGTATTTTAAATGCCAATGATATAGCTTTCAGCATCACAGCAACACACAAGCCACCACAGTATGACAAACTGAAAGATAAGTTTTTCTAGACATACCAAAATAACTCTAAATGATTATCCTGGTGTCTACATCCTACTTAGTGTTTTTGTTGACAGACCCAGGTGCAAAATACGTATATATATTTTCCAGATTTTTTAGAGTCAAGCTATATATATATATATATATATACACACACACATACACACACATATGTATGTATATATATATACACAGAGACTCTAGAGGGTAAGCACAGGATTGAGAACCACAAGATTGACAGTTCAAGTCCACCAGCTGCTCAGTGATAGAAAGATGAGGCTTTCTGCTCTCACAAAGATGTACAACCTCTGAAACCCTATACATATGTTGTTATTGTTAAGTGCCATTGAGTTGGTTCTGACTCATAGCAACCCTATATAGGGTTTCCAAGGAGCAGCTGGTGAGTTTAAACTAGCGACCTTGGGGTTCACAGTTCAGTGGTGATCCTGCAGTGTCATAGACACTTTCAGAAATCTGGGGAAAATGAAGATTCAGAAAGAATGACAATTACCATTTGTGTCTTTTTGCAGAGTGAAAAACTCTAATTTTGAAATTCTATAGATAGATATCAGATCTCTTATGGTACTTCATCCATTATGTCTTGCATATATTGTTGTTAAATGTTGTTGAGTTGGTTCTGACTCATAATGACCCTATAATGGGTTTCTAAGGAGTGTCTAGTGAGTTTGAACTGTCGACCTAGTGGCTCAAACCTACCTTGTGGTCCAGTGCTTTATCTTATAATGCTACATGAAGATTCTATTTTAATGGTCAGTATGTATATAGAATAATATAGGAAAATATATATTTTATGAATGAGCAAACATGTTATACTAACTTGAGGCGATATAAGGTATGTTTTCCCAATTAAAATGAACACAATTTTAACCAATAAAAAGGATTTATTGGAAAAAAATAGTCATCATTTTCATTTAAGAATAACTTTTTAAAATTTATTTGCAAGTTGGATTATATAAGATGTTTGTTGATATAAATAGTATCATTGAATTGTTTCAGATATTGATGTTAGATGATTTCCAAACAATTTAATTGTTGTCATCTTTTTCTGTAAATTAAGATTAAATTATAATTGAATTGAGATCACTTGTGCACATGTAATATTTTCTTGAAATATTTGTTTATGCCATGCAAACCTAAAACTTCATTTAGATAATAGCCCTCCAAATAGGCAATGAAAATATAATTATCTTCATTCTCATACAATCTATCTTGCTCCTATTTTGAGGAAGACTATAACCTGCAAGACTAACAGGTATTACTTTAATTAGTATAGAAAGTATTTTATGTTGAATTTACCTGGTTACCCATCCATAATTGAAAGGCCCTAAGGAAGATAGCTCAGCAAATTGTGTAGTACAGTTTTGGCTAGACTTTGTTGACCTAGCCATTTCATAATTTTATTACTGTCAGCTCAATTTTAATTTGAACTATATCTTTCAACATAAGAAAGAAAGACATACTTATTTTTAAAAGAATTATTGAGTGATTCATTGATGAAATATTCCTGAGATGCTAGAAGCATCACTGGATGATTTAATAGACCAAATGAAGGTATATACAGAGGGTAAATTTATTGTGGCTACTTAATTTGCAACATATGACCCCATAACTCTCTGAAAGCAACTGCTGCCCTGGTTTTATCTTACCTCCAACACTGGACATTCTGGAGGAGTCCTGATGAGAGGTGGATTTATTGCGATTTTGATTTTTCCGTTTGTTGGCTGCTCTCACAGATCGAAGTAGAACCTCACTTGCCTTGAAGAAGGCCACCATGAATGGTTGTTTTGACTGAGGCCCATGTCTTCCCACGAGACCTGCAGATTTTACATTTATACTTCGTCCTAGAACACAATGAACAAGCATTTAGTTTATGAAAATGAGAAAGCACTTACCTAACATGATTGAATTCTGAGGATACTTTGAAAAGGAGAAAATTTAAAACATTAGAACATTTCCTTTACAGGCCAGAGACTCTTATAAACATCGAAGGTTTACTATTACAGATGACCCATACTTGGTTTTTCATTTGCTTCAATCTTCCCCCACTGAACGTACTCTGGCTGCCTTCGCTATCTGATATCTTCTCAGACCTTGCCATCTACAATACTATAAAGGGCAAAACTTTACTACCATTAGGCTGGAAATTTTCACATCATATATATATACACACACACAAACTATGGGTTTTTCTCCATCAAATGTCCTATAATTTTATTCTATACTGAGTACCTAGCAGGATGTTTCTCATTTCTCCACCTTTTTCAATTCAAGTATTAATTAGTGCTGATAGCCTTCCCTCCTTCACCTCTGGCAAATGGCCAGCACACTTTACAAAGCTTTTACTAAAAGCTCTTCACAATCCTTTTGAAAGCTCAGTGTGGGGAGGGAGGGTTTCTTTAAACTCTAGGTCATTCTCAGTGGAAAATATCTTGAAATAAACATGGGTCCTCCCCTTTTTAGTTTTTATGCAGAGTTTTTCTGAAAGGGTTTCAGAAGATGCAAAACAAATCTAGAGACTCTCAGAAAGGAGAAAATTCCAGGTGCCTTTGAAGATTCACTTTTGCATCTAAACCAGACTACATAGAATTTCTGAGGATAAACTGGTGAACTTGAACTGCAGACCTTGCAATTCTAACCAACTTTGCAGTTCTGACTTTGCAATCCAGCACATTAACCCACAACACCACACCAGGTCTCCACATTCCCATCTAAACCAGACTCTATCCCATACCCTTGTCTGTGCCTGTGGATGTGGCTGTACATTAGGGAAGAAGGAGTTTAATCAGGGCTTGTATAGGAATGTGGTAGAAGTCAGGGTTTCCTACAGACTAGAAATTGTTGTTGATAAAGTACTTCTCCCATGGGTGTGGCCATAATATTAATTATAAAAATGGCAAATAAAATCTTTGAAATGCTTGCTTTATATGTGTTAAAAGTTTTCTAAGTAGCTTACATACATTATTTAATTTGACTTCACAAATATGGTAGGAGTTAAGCATCTTCCCCCTTATGATTTACTTTTGTTACTCTTCAAGTTTAAAATAATTATCTATTAACATAAATATAACATAAACTATCTCTATTAAAAAATAAAAACATAGAATTTGAGATCTGGTGCTATCAAAATCACCCAAAGAGGATGAACTGTTTTTTAACCTTAAGTTGTAAACATAGCTGAAAATTATTCACAATTCATGGAAATGTTCTACTCTGGATACAGAAGTTACCCATTTTTTAGAAGTAATATATAATGTGGCTTGAAATATGTGCATGATTGACTTTGACGTGCCCCATGAGAAATGTGTGTGTTTTCTTAAAATATTTATTCAGTAAAGACTGTGGAGCAACCTCAGTGCGTTATGAGATCTGACCAGCCAACGAAGAAAGAAAAGGAAAGCAAGGCTGTGAAGCAGCATCAATGGCATTTTAGCAAATAAACCCTTGCTCTTAACAGAATTTATTTTGGCAGCATAAACACTTTTGTGTATACACTTGTATTGTACAGAGACGTTCTACCATCAGAAAATGAGACTGTGTCATGTAAGGCTGTACAGCTGTTGGGAAGGACACAAAGACCTTTTAAATGTGGAGGTATTGGTTAAAAAAAGAAAAACAAAAAAACCAGTGTGCACTAATTCAGACACCATCAACTTCCTCAACAATTGTTCTACAATGTATTAGGTTCCTGTAAGAATTTAAATGGCCACTTTCCTTACAAATGCCAATCCTTTCAGTCTTACCAGAGGGGAAAAAAGAACTTATAAATAATCAAAGTAGTAAACCTTAAACAAATAAGCATATAGGTTTCTCTTTTAAATGCAAACTTAGAGGGGCTTTATGCCAGAGTCTATATTTCTTAGAAAAACTCTATCACTGGCATAAATGAAAGAGGCAGTTTGATTTGTGGTCTGTGCAGTTTCCATTCTATTTCCAGTGTAACAAATGTATTAATTCAGCTCAGACTTCCTTCTTCTGGCAGCCCTTTTGCTGTAAAAAGAGAAATTAGAAGTTCCAGCCAAATACCATACCTTGAACTGACCCACTTCAATACATAAACACTTTTACAACATGTTTATTCAGGTGTAGCACTTGAAATTGGTTTAAGATGTTTCCAGTGACAGAGAGCTCAGCAAAAGAGAGAGAGAGAAAAAAAGAGAGAGAGAACTGCGAAACTTAACTGTTATGGAATAGAATAACTGGCAATCTGTTCTTCATTTTTTTTTTTTTTTTTTTCCATCTTGGAGTACAGCATAAAGGGTATTTGTTGAAACTTTTATTTTGATTTTTTAATGGAGTGTTAATTTAACAGGAACTAAATTTTTACTTATATGCATTGGTGAGTGCAGAAATCATTTTTAATATATGATCTTTCTAATACTGAAATCAGTTGTCACAAGATGTTCACAAATGGAATAGAGTCAAATCAGTTTTCCATTCATTACAACACACACTGACCCTTTTATAGTTAAATAATCACTTAACACAAAGTTCCAAGTTTCCTTTGGTTTGCAGAAGGGTTTCTTTTATTATTATTTCAAAGCCTTTCGATATTTTAATTTTTATCTATGGAGAAATAATACAGAAATAATAGTGCCCTAAAGATTTATGTTCTGAAAACTGCAGAGATGTGTGTATGTTACAAATATGGTTTTCTTAGACTTTACAAAGGTGGATATTGTGTGTGAAGCAAAGTACCCTTCAAACCAACGTGAACTCCCTTTAAAATAACTTTTAATATTATTAAGTTTCCTCCTGGTTTCCTTTTTACTTCAGCAATGAAGTGACTATTAAGATTCCATAGGTTAATGCTTACTCAGTTACCCTTGGTTTTTAGATATACCATAGAAGAACTGACTACTTGATTTACTTTTTCAGACACAATATACCTACACTGATTAAGTTGACTCTTTAAATTTCTTAACTGTTGTTTTTGTAGGAAATGCTATTGGGAAACCAGACTAAATTGTATATATTGGAAAATAATAAATATTTTTATAAGTTTTTGAATATATTGAATTCTACCATTAAATTTATAGTATATAAAATGTTAGAAATATATAAATAAATTTCTACCCAAAGCATTTTGATTTAACAAAAATATAATTATGTGTTTATCACTGAGGATATAAAGCTTATTGTGTAATTCAGTTCAGTGTTTTTTTGTTAGCTTGTTTTCTTATAGTCACATGCACTTATTTTTAGAGTTTTAGATTTACAGAAAAATTGTACAGAAAGCACAAACAGTTCCCAAACACTGCATCTCTCTGTACAAGAATAGTATCTCCTATTATTAGCAGTTCACATTAGTGTGGTACCTTGTTAGAATTGAACCATAACAATTCTTTACTATTAAGGAGTCCATAGTTTGCTCTAGGGTTCATTCATTGTGCTGTACAGTTCTAGGGGCTTTAGCAAATGTATAATATCATATATTCAACAACATAGTATCATGCAGAATGGTCTTACTGCCAGTAAAATGCCACCTATTCACCCCTTCCTCTTTCATCTAAACCCCTGGCAATGACTGATCTTTTTACTCTCTCTAAAATTATGCTTTTCCATATTAATGTTTTTAAGTGTCCTCATGTCTGTTCCTACAGAAAGTGACCTTGCATAGGCTTTCCAAAGTAAAATGAGTGAAATGGAAGTGATTTCACAATTTTTGAAGAGATTTCACAATTTTTATAATTGGCTGGGAGGGCAAAGTAGCATTACTTTAGTACATGGTTAACAGAATATGAAACAAATATGGTATAAAAAGACTCTCCCTGCATCAGAAAATGGCTTCAGAGCAACTCTACATTGGCACAGAAGGACAGCGGCAGACTGTAGTTCCAATATTTTCTCCTGCACCAGGAAAGTGTCCGCATTGGCTTCAGAGAACAGTAGCAGACTATAGATGAAGAGTGGGGAGTGGGAGGCTAATGAGATTTCGTGTTTAAAGGTATACCAACAACTTGGTTCAATGGTAGAATTCTTGTTTTCTACGTAAAGTTCCTCACCAGTCCATCTCAGCAATAGTGTGTTGCTATGATGCTGAATGAGGAGTGTGGTCACTCTGTAGGATAAGCACTGGAATGCAGTTGAAACCCACCAGACACTCGGGGATGGCAGGGAGGAGATGTGACTTTCTGCTTCTGCAAGGCTTACAGCCTTCCGATTCAATGGCACTCAGCAACAACAACATGATGCTGGACAAGTTTCAGAGGACTTCCAGACTAAGACTAATTAGGAAGAAAGGTCTGGCAGTGTAATTCCCGTTTAGTCAATGAAAACTCAATGTATCCCAGCACTGTAATCTATAACCCATCAAGGGATGGAGCAACATCAGGTAATACTTTATACTCCGGTGCATGGGGTTGCCATTAATCAGGGGCCAACTGCATGGCAACTAATACCAACTACTCAAGTAAAGCTATAACCATGCCAGTGGTGGCATACAGTGGCTATGAAAGAAAAAGGACAATTAGCCTGCATAATACTCAAGTCCTGATGTTATACACTATAAGAGAGCAGGGATACTACTAAATGGGAGGAATGATAACAAGAGAGGAAGATGAAATTGATTACTGAGATGAGTTGTTCAACTTTAAATACATTTATGGCAAAGAGGAGAGAAGAGGAGATGGGCGAGACAATATAGGAAAAGTTCTTTGAAGGATATACACTGATTTTATTGATAACACCTAGACCTATAAAACATTGTTTGTGCCCAACTGCACTAGACTTGATGGAGCCCTGATATTACAAGGGGTTAAGTGTTGGACTGCTAATCAAAAGGTTGGTTTTTTGAACCCAGCTTCTCCATGGGAGAAATAGGAGACAGTTGGCTTCTGTATAG